TTTCCTTTTCCCAAAAATGACAATCTAGATATCAACACCAGTAAACAGAAGTTGAATTAGCTGGCAATTTATTCTTAACACTGCTCAGATAATATTCAATCAGAGGATCAAATAACCTGTGTTTTATCGATTAGTGGGCAGAGTTACCTATCAAAAGTGTCAGGGCCCCAACACATTAATACCCTAATTGGTATTAATGGCCCTGAGCAGCCTCACCTGGGGCCTCACCCACACCCGTGTCCCAGGGCCCCAGGTGCTGATTTAAGCTCAGCCCTGGCCCTTCAATCCCTCCCTGAGCAATGCTGGAGGAGTGTTGGGTCTGCAGCCGCTGCCACCCCTGCGCCCAGCCAAGGACCCTGACGTGGCTTGACCTTGGACCTGTCTCATCGCCAGGGACTCTTGGTTGAACCTGACTGCCATCTCCGGACCTGCCTTGCTGAGCTGCCTGGGGAGGCCCCTGCCCAGCTGGCTGCGGTACCGCCCTAGCTCCCAGCCAGCCCTCGTGATGCCCTGGCTGAAAGCTTATTCAAAAAGTTAATGGTGGAAAAACTGGTCTCTGCCAGTTAGAGATTACACAATTTTTTTTTTTTTTAGTTTAGAGATTAAAACACACTGGTCTAATGGGATTTTAATAACACGCCTATAGTATACCAAAGGAATAGAGCGTCTCTGCTCTACATAATTTATTTTCAGACAAGTTAAAAAACTATTAATGTGCCTTTGTGGTGGCTCTTTCTACAGAAAGTACAAACAGCACCTGTATCAATAATTTTCTTATTCTTGTTTTGCAGTTTAATGGGCACTGTTAACTGTACCTATTATCAATTTTGTCTGAAAGACATATGTCTAGCATATATATATAAAACAATTGTAATATACCATCTTATATTCACACCATCAGACAAAAGGATAGGATTACAACATACTTGGAGTTACTCCCTTTAGTGATTCATCCTTACTTCTGGAGAGATACTATTAGACTGTTATTGCATTTCTAAAAGCTTAATATCATCTCATGAAGATTTGTCCATGTAAACCCATGTTTTAACTCTTTCTTATAAAGGAAGGCACTGGTAAGCAGGCATGTAAATAAGCTATTATTTTCACTAATTTTATTTCAGATTCAGTGTGGATTATAGAAACTTTTACAAAAGAACTTGGGTGATTTCTATTCCTAAGACAGGTCATTTCTTGTTGCCTGCCTGTGCAGCAGCTGGTGTCTAGCAGAGAGCTCACAAGCCTCCAGCAAACATGGCATGCAATGTTTGATCACAAAGTTTGAGTATTTGGGTTTTAAATTAAGAATAACAGTATGTCATTGTGTTTTCAATACTCTTGGTGAAATACATGGTTCTTTCTAAAATTAAGCTTTTAAAAGCAGGAGCTGCAACATGGTACTTATTTGGCTTAGCACACCAATACAACTGCAACTGCTTTCAGAGAAAAGCTAGACTGACTCCGAGTTATCATTCAGCATGGCAGCAATGGTGCCTGCGCGAAACTTTGGCCAAAGCCCTGCACCACGCTATCTTCCAAGAGTTCAAGATAGCAAGTGCGTAACCGTGAGTATCTTTTGGTTATGTGGATTTGTCAGAATCATGGTAATGATGAAAACGAAGCAGGGCTTGCATTAAAATGTAGAAGTCCTGCTGTGAAATTCAGTTATGCTGAAGCTAGCATATCAAAAAAGCTGGTAGTGATTTCTTTTTCTGAGAACTATTTGTATGAATTATTGTTGTACAGCACAATATACTGCATGGTTTCCTACTTGATCTGACAATAAACATCCTTGACTCTTTTTTCTTCTTTTTTTTTTTTCCCCAACTATCTCCTCTCCTGGAGTCCTTCTGTTAAAAACCTCTTTTTTTCTTCTTTTTTTTTTCCCCAACTCTCTCCTCTCCTGCAGTCCTTCTGTTAAAAATTAGTTAAGAAATGGCCAATAATCTCAAGAGACTTGTCTTTAACTTTCCACACAGCTCTTGTAAATCTTTCAAGTGCATGGCGTACTGATTCTGAATTGACACGTGTTCATTCTTCGGTCTCAGGAAACTTTTGATTTCCTGAAAGCTTTCTTATACTAATTAACTCATGAGTTTACTCAAATTGTTTTTCTTGATTACTACTTCAAAGCCCAATGATAAAACACGTGAGTATCACTGTTGATCAAAGTACAGAAAGGGAATATTATGAAACCTGTGTGAAATACTATGCCAAATATTCCTGTAACCATCATAAACAGGAGATGTGAGTAGAATATCTCTTTCTGTAAATGTCTCCAGGAGAGACAACCACAGGAGGAAGGCTAAGCTTGTCTTCGAGTGGCTGGATGATATGGGCAGCCCATAGTAGTGGGTTAGATAAGGAAGGCATATATCCAGCGGTGCAGCTTGCCTTCAGCTCTTTGCATCTTGTGTATGAGATGAAGGATCTGGAGACACAAGCAGCAGCTCTGTGCCAGGCACCTATTTGATACCTGGAAGATGAGTAGAAGATAGAAGCTCCTGGTGTGTGCCCATGTTTGTGCTTGTTTTCTTCCAGTACTGACAAATCCATAGTTCGGGGTTTTTTTTTTTGTTCGTATATGCCTGCAAGCATTTTAAAACAATAATGAGTATAGCTATAAAATGCATAGAATTCTTCTATACTATTCTATAGTTCTCCATTTTAAATTAGGTATATAATATGCCTCTGCTAGACTAGATCAAAAGAAGAAACTCTTCTCTGAGGCTTTCTATATAGATTATTCCATATGAATCTTTCTAAAGTACATTTGAACCTGTTCCTGTACAGCAGCCCAAAGGCTATTGGCAATGCACCAAAGAAACCCCTGAGCGCTGGATTTAGATACTAGCTGCAAATGTCCATTCATCTCTGTTTACAGTCTATCCTCCGTTACTGTCTACAGATAGTAACTCCTAAGTTAAAGGTGCTTTTTGTAGCAGTATTTACTGAAAAATCAGTTTAAAAACATATACTAGGAACAAAAGACTTGAAAAAAATTACCTGGAACTTAATCTCCTACTTCCTTTCAGGTCTGAATAAAACAGTCGAGAAGCATATAGGTAAGAGTGGTTTTGGTAAGATTTTTCTAAACTAAATTGATTTTTAAATGTGCAGTGTGTTTTGTCATTCTGCTTGAAGAAATTGCGCACTTTGAAGAAGTCACAGTCACTGTATGATAAATATTCCTTTCAGTTTGTTTCATTAGCCCTTTGGCATGCTCATTTTCTAGTTTTTCAGATCTGCTTGAAGAAACTGTATTTTGATGTCACACAAACACCCAGTTGCATTTTGCCCGCTTTGCTTTTATATAGGGCAGATATAATCTACCACTGAAATGCTTCATATGTTTAGTATTATCTCTTCATAAAAAGATGTTATAAAGGCTTGTTATTGGTTCATTATTGCTATATGCCAGAGCCAGGAAATCTGTGGTTGTGAGCATTTTGTAGCAGTTGGTAATAAAAACTGAATTGTTCAGATATAACTACAATCATAAAGAAACACTGACTAGTGATGAGCTGTTATGCAGTATGTCTGCAGAGATAAAAATCTGCATTTTTAAAAATTATTCTTTAGTAAATCAGAGGTGTACTTTTGCACCTCTGGTTTAGACGCAGGACCCAGCGATCAGCCCTCTGTCCCTGGCAGGGTGATGCGAAGAGGCAGGCAGCGAGGATACGCAGAGCAAGCGGGGAAAGCCTTGCTGTTCACAATGAGGCCCTTTTTGGCCAACAGGTAGCTAAAAACGAGTAAAAGCTGCTTGTACTCCATCTTCTTTTGAAGTCTAAGCATTCACCTGGGGACTGACCGGCCTAGGCTGGCTGAGGCTTCCCTTGAGGGGGGCAGAAATGCAAGGCTGCAGAGAGGGTGTTGCTCCTGCATCTGTTCTCAGCCTGCAGGCTGGAAGGACAGAGCTCCTTCGCTGTAGCGCCACAAAGCTGCTTCCCGGAGGCCTAACTGCCGACGGGAGGCACACGGGAAAGCCGTGCCTGGAGGAAGCAGCCTCCTGGAGAGGCTCCTGAGGCAGTTTCCAAAGCCCAGGACTGCCCCAGCTGAAGGAAGATACGGGGTTACACGTACTTTATGTCAGGAAATGATGCAAAATACGTGGGGCAGAAGATGAGTGGGAGAGAGCCCGCAGCAGGGGCCTCGGAGGAGCAACCGCCCCCGCTGCTTTGGGCAGGAGCCCTCCCTGCCTGGCAGGGGAGCACGGCCGCCTCCGCAGCGGCAAG